TAGCGTCGGTGAAGTAGAAAGTTGTAAGTTAGTAAGAGAAAAGACATCAGGTGAAAGCTTGGGTTATGCTTTTGTAAAATTCTATAATTCAGCAGATGCTGGTAAAGCAATAAAAACAATGAATGGACTTCGATTACAAAATAAAACAGTTAAAGTGTCACTAGCCAGACCAAGTTCTGAAGCTATAAAGGGAGCAAATTTATATATATGTGGATTACCGAGAAAAATGAATCAGTGTGAATTAGAAAAGCTTTTCAGTACATGTGGCCATATTATCACAGCTAGAATCTTGTATGATACAAAGACTGGTTTATCCAGAGGTGTAGCATTCATTCGATATGACCAACGTACAGAAGCAGAGGTAGCTATCAGAAGATTGAACGGCTATTTGCCCCCTGGAGCTAATGAGCCTATTACAGTTAAGTTTGCCAATTCACCAGGCTCAAACAGAGCTGAAAATTTTAGCCTTTGTTATATAAAGTCCCCGGATGGAGAAGCAGGAATAAGATATCCCCCAAACTCTGGACCATATAACACCGGAGGTATAAATCAGGTAGGTAAAATAATGCCTGGGTTCCAAGTAGAACCTAATGAAATAAATCAGACGAGGAATCAGAAGAATGATCATCTTCACAATACATCTGTAAACGGGTCACAATTTAATAATGCTTCAACACGTAATGTTCGAACAGTTGTGAATCGTGTTCAGACACCTCCAGTTACCATCTCTCGATCAAATGGCAATACCAACTGTTCAACGTCTTATAAAAATAGTTGTGTATCAGGGAATTCTACGGGTACAGGAAGTCACACTCAAACAATATCAAATAAACTTTCACTTCATATCGCCAACGCAAGTGCTGCAAACAACATAAACAGTTCAAAGACGTCTGATGCCGGCATATCAGGATCATTAAATAAGTTGAATAACGTCACTAGACTGAAGTGTCAGGCTGCTGCTGCAGCCGTAGCAGCTATTTCAGGGAGTACTGGTGCTGCACTTCGATGTACAAATAATATGTTAGGCAGTCCATTGGCTACAAGTTTTCCCGCAGGTTTACCTACATTTGGAATGGAATTTATGCGTGGTATCGGACCAAGTGCACACGCTCTCCTAGCTCCAGCATTTGCTGCTAGCTCAGGAGCATTAACAGCAACCGGTTGGTGTATTTTTGTTTATAATTTAGCTCCAGACACAGAGGAATCTATACTATGGCAATTATTTGGACCTTTTGGTGCAGTGCAAACTGTCAAAGTAATATGTGATCCAGCTACTGGTAAATGTAAAGGTTTTGGTTTTGTTACAATGAGTAATTATGAAGAAGCCTTGTTAGCAATTCATTCATTGAATGGTTTCACTCTTGGTAATAGGATACTTCAGGTATCATTTAAGACAACACCGAATCCAAAACAAATGAAGTATTTTACAAATAATTTTATTGATAGAAATCTACTCTTATCAAATTTACCCGGCTCAATAACACCTGTATCCAATACCACTTTTACACAGAATTCATAAAGTTTTCTGCAGGTTTTTGCTTACATATTTAAATACTATGCATAAGTGAAGACACCAGGAACTATAATAACTTTGAAAATATTTTTTCCGATTAAAATTTATTCATATTATCTAATACAATTGTTTGTCAGGATGTTTAAAGTTCTGTTCAATTATAGTGTGAAAATTCATGTCAGTATTCTATTTATTACAAATATGTATGTTACTATACAGAGATTTTCATTTTCGATAAGTTATTTTGTTGTTTCACGGAAATACTTTCTTTCTAATTCCACTCTTTCATTATTAAAAGTTGGCTTTTACTGTCATCTTCATTTTAGCCTGATTAGTTATCTGTTGTATATTACTTATATGATATTAAGTAATGCTGTACTATGTACCTGGGTTAATATATTTGTTCTTTGGCAATATTCCTTTCTCCATTTTGAATCATATATATGTACATGTGTTTGGTTGGTCAGCTGAAATTATTATTTTATTCTTTTTTGAATATCTACATGTATTTGCGTCATTCTGTTTATCAATCTACTTAAACATTTTCGTGTATATTGTTGGGATGGTTCAACAATATGCAGCTATACATACTACTGACATCACCATTATCCATAGGGAAAGAAAGTGGAATACGTCATTTGTAATTTCAGTAATATATTTCTTTATCCTTATTGGTATAATTGTTTATGCGAAATGCGAGTTAAATAACATTTTTTTTCGCAATTTCGAAGTAAGTGTCTTTTTATTTAGTGAATTAATTGGTATATTATTAATTTACTGTTTCAAAAAGAATAAATTCTTTACAATGTCCTATACTTAACTGAATATAATTAATACTGAAAAGATGATATCGTGTAGAGGACAGTAGGCTGCCTATTTATCCTTCTTGAGGTATTAAAACTTTACGGCTAACTATTTTTATTGACATAGCCCTTAAATTATTCATACTGATGTATCTTTATTCTCTGATTACTGTATTTCAGATGTGGAACACTTTTGTTAACTTTCTTTGAATTATTCATTTTCAGTTAAGCTGATTTTAGTCAACTGTATTATTATATATCGGCATATTTTTGTCTATCTTGTTCCTATGCGCTGCTTCGAAGTTTAACAAACTGAGGTGATATTTTACTGCTTAAGGTTTTGAAAATATTCGCATTACTAAGCTGGTTGGTTAGACATTTATTTCAGTGGAACTTTTTCAGTTTTTTCTTTTGAAGAATACTGAAATACTTCGATTAGATCAGACATAAAGTGTTGTTAATTTATGTTCTCGATTTGTGATTCTAGTTTTTTTGACATAATGACTTATTGTTATGAATAAACTTCAAAATTTAATGTTGTCATCAAGACAATTAAATGTGTTTTTTTGTGCACTTAAGGCTTGTTGAAAAGCTTTATTACTTTTTTTGACTGTTTATTTTGTTCTGAATTTTTGTCGGCTATAATTGTTTTTCTAAAAGCCAAGCTGTGCTTATATTTTCAACTTAATAGAAAGATTTTGTTACTGTTAGTTGTCATTGTTCAAGTAGACTGAAGTTACTTGATTGTACTTATTATTTACCAATAAACAAATAAAGTTTAATTTCATATGAGTTCTGTTACAGGTAGTTGGATTTTTAAATTATGGATAGAGGTAAAGTAAAGTGAAAATTTTGTTCATTTTTAGATTTGTAAACCGTATTTATATGTATTTCAAATTAAACAGTTTAGTGTTTAGAAGCAAACACTGTTAGAACTACCGAAAGTGAACTTGCTAAACTGTAGGCAAGTCTGCATTCTGTTAGTTAGTCTTTATTTCCTAGTGAATAACATTCAGATAAGCATTATAGGAAGCACAACATCACTCATAAGAATACAAGTACATTCAATTTATACATCTAAAACAGAACAAAATCGATTTAGATGTCCATCTGAATATTATTTGCTAGTAATAAATAAAAATTGACTAACAGAAAGTAATCTAATCTGCAATTTAGAGAGATCACTTTTGGTGATCTTAATGATGTTTGATTCCATAAACACTATTTAATTTACAAACTAACTTTGCTGAAATGAAACATTTTATTTTATCTATTGAGACAAGAGTAAACATACTATTATCCATTGTTTACGTGACCTTTGACCAGATGGTTGACCCTGAGGTAGATTAAGGGTCAAGTCAGTGGATTTTTATCGATACACACTAACAAGTCAAAACATAGTTTCTATAGCTTAAACTAATAATTTATCAGTTATGTCAATAAACTGTATAATTAGCTTCAATTTCTATTGATCTCACCTTTTTTAGTGTAGCGATAAATCTTCAGCCTTTGAGTCAGTCTTCTGTGTCTTTCTCTGTATGGAGATGGATAATATTCCAGTGATCGGTCGTTTATTGTTGTGTGTTAAACAGTAAGAACAAACCTAGATTACAACATTATTATTAGTTATAACAACATCTTTCTTCTCTTTCCTGCGAGCCACCATACAAGACAATATTATCATATTGTCTTTTCTTACATTTCTGGTACAATAATAAAGTTGTTTAGCTTAAAGATATGTAGATTGTAATTAATAAACTGAACTTTGCATACAGTGAATAGTCCTTTTTTTCCTTCACGTTCCCAAGTGGAACATAGGGCTCCAAGCTTGTGGCTTGAAGTTCCTGTAGCAGTGTTTATTTTACAGGATGGGGTTGCTAGCTTCATGCCCAACCTTTCCTCTTCACCAGCATTATTTCTGGTTTAGCGAGGTAAAGGAGTGCGTCGGCCAGGGATTGAACCCCGGATTATGTGCTTGGTCGATGAGCTTCCTAACCGCTATGCCACCGACGCACGAATAGTCCTTGCTTGAGGCATATTATTGCATGTTTACGGACATCTGGGTAGAGCACATTCACAGTAATTTTTTTCTAAATGAATGTATTAAGACATTTTATTCTAACTAGTTTTAGGTTAATTACCTGATACATATGTGACAAAAGGTATTATTATATTTTGATCAACTGATTCAATATAACAGATCCCATGACTACTAATTTAGACGATGCCTTTTGGGGTTGGTTAATTCGCTAGTAAAAGTAGATATTATTTGTAGATGATGAATAAAGGTTATACTCTTTCATATCCCTTACCAATAACTTTCAATTAGTCAGTTGAATAATGAGGTACTCATCACGAAATTTGATAGTTAAAAATTAAATTTCTTATCTACTCAGTGGTATGCATTACATACTAGTATAAATCTAATAAGAAAGACTATCTATTGAGTTGTATTTCAAAGTAATCTCCTTACCAATGCTGATTTGGGTAACTATTATCACTAAAGTTACTTACTACCTTACCGGCTAGTCAACTGGAAGTAAAAATGTTAACATACTGTTTGTAGTAAATAAAAAATAAATACATAAGAATCACCTATTAAAAATTCATATTTTCTGAGATTTCAGAATGTTGGATAAAAAAGGTAGATAAATAATGTTGTCTTTCTGTATTTAATCTCTGTTTTATATAACAAGTGATACACGAAAACGAGACATTTCATTTTCTTGTCGACGTAACTGTTCACGTAGTTCACGATATTCTTTTGGAGTTGTATAACTGCTGATGGTACGCTAAAATTATTATTAAAAAGGAATAAAAAATTGATATGAATTAGACACTTAATAAAAGGATACACATTCAGTAAATATCAGTCAGATTTATTTAAGCATATTTTCTAAATCTGAAATAGTTCATAGTTGATGTTCACTTGCTAATGTTACAAACAACCAATAACTATCAAAACAAACATCTTTGTCATCGGTCTAGTTAAACTATGTGATTATTAGGAATACCGAATGTTATGCAATATCACTTAATATTCACTACTTGAAGCTTAAGTGTTAATTAACTAGTGTGGGAGGATGTTACTCGTAGATGTATTAAGGAGATAAAAAATACTGTTGAGTAATGGATGAACAGGCTTCGGTGGTCCAGCGGTAAGACGCTCGCCAACCACGCATGTGCTCCGGGGTTCGTTCCCCGGCCGTCGCACTCCTTTACCTCGTTAGGTCGGTAATAAATTCGGTAAAGGGGAAGGTTGGGCATGAGGCTAGCAACCCCATCCCGTAAAATACACCACTGCTACTGAAACTTCAAAGCTCTAGTTTGAAGCCCCATGTTCCACTGTGAAAGTAAAGGAGTAAAATAAAAAATAATCATAATAGAAAAAAAGTGAGTGCGCTGATAACAGGTTATATGAAGAGTTTTCATTAAAGAACATTGGAAACAAAATACGAATTACCTATAGAATAAAAGTTAGTTTATCAGTCAGTCAGTCACGACAAGCAGAATTAACTCCACCGTTGCGCACTTATCTCAGATTTGTTATGTTACATCACAATAAAGTGGCTCACAGACGTGCACAAAAACCAAGCAAAGTACAATGATTTTTGTGCTTTTTATTTCTCAACTTTGCAATGAAACAACGATCTGACTAAATTCGCATTGAAACTATTGGTTTTAATTTTCAAAATATACAACACTGACTTATATACAGTAATGCAGTAATAGAATAACCGCATTTGGGAGAAAATCCTGAGTCACTAAGAGATTCAAAAGGACAGTCTGAGTTATCAGCACATGACTCTGTCGATTCATCTGTAAACAATTTGAATATTTTAATGACCCAAGCTTTTGTTTCGGTTTCATTTATTGTCTCCATAATTTGACAGTTAATTTTGTCATACATAATCTGATCAATAAATCAGTATAATAGGGAAGTCGCACAAATAACTTTGTTTCTCTTGCTCAGTATTTAGACGAGGAAATCTTGGTTTATAGTATATTATTATTATTGTTCCCTTGAGTCCCGAGTAGAAAACAGGGCTTCAACAGTACATCTCCACTTTATCCTATTTTCTGCGGTCCTCATAAGCTGGCTGAACAATTGCCCATAGTCTGTGATCTCCTCCATATCACCCTCGGACACCCCACTCGTTGTTTCTCATTCGAATTTCACTCGAGGGCCTGGGGTGCAATGTCATTCCATGGTCTCCTCAGCGTGTGCCTAATCCATCTCCATTTTTCTCTACATATTTGTTGGAAAATATATATCAGTGGTTGACAAGCGTTTTGGTGTGTACTACATTATTACTGGGTTCATTAATCAAAGTATCACATTTGTATTACTTCCGATTTATGTTTTAATTATTGGCTTTATCTGTACTTGAATTTTTTTATTCCTTCACGTTCCCAGTGGAACATAAGGGTTCAAGCTAGAGGCTTGAAGTTTCGGTAGCTATGATGTTCATTTTTTCAGGATGGGATTGCTAGCCTCGTGCCCAACCTTCCCTCTTAACCAATCTTATTACTGGTTTAGCGAGGTAAGCGAGTGCGTCAGCCGGGAATCGAATCCCGGACCACATGCTTGGTTGGCGAGCATTCTACTGCTATGCCACCGACGCACTATACTTGAATTTACCAGTTCTGATTTTTACGACTAGTGCACTTGGTTTGTATTTCCGGAACCATTTTAGGTTCTCGCCTTCTTTAATTTATTAAATTCCTATACTGGTTGAATATACAAGTAATAACAGTTTAACTTAAAGCCATTCGCCTACGCCTTATTATATAAGTTAGATTCAAAGTGCACCACGCTGATAGCTTTATAAATACCTGAATTGAAATATGAAGAATGAAGTGGTTCACTGTGGACTATAATTCATCTATACTTGAAAATCAGTTAATATAGCTTGTAACTCAGTCTACTGACGAGGAAACTACTATACTGAACCGACTAGAATAAGTAACTTACCCTAGAGCAATGGTTAGCTTCGCTTAGTTTTGAAAATAAGCTACGGTAAAAGAGGAGACATTATTTATGACTGGGAGAATTCCAAATATACAGAAAATTGACTTAAAATAACATAATAGTTTACTTTGATTGGTTCTAGATGAAACATAGACATAAACTTAATGAAATTATTTTGATTAAGCAACAGGATAAATCACAATTTGATTGTCCAAATTTATATCTCATCTACTGGTGATATAAAACGTCTACTGTCGACCAAGTTGCTTGCTGTCAGTTATTTTCAAGTTGGGAAAATTAAAATCAAGTTTTTTTAGTTTTGATTCGAGATGATTCTAAGAACAGCTTATAGCACAAAGTAATATTTACTCCAGATAAACTTCACATTTCACCAAGTCACAATGGGTTTCAATAATTTTTACTTCTTACCTTACCACTTAAACTACCCACTGTACTTCTTCGAGTTTCATTTCCTTTGTTTTCATCCACTGTTAGTTAATGTATGGCAGGTTATAAAAAATGTATAACGCGGTTAATAATAATAATAATAGTAATAAGTGAACATTATAATTTACTATAATATAAAAACTGGCTATCGCTATTTATCCATGTTTAGGACAATAAGTTCTGATGCAAATTTTAGAAACTGCTTCTACATCATATATTTATTAAACCAATTAAGTTATTTTGTTGAATTAAAACATTAAAGTGTGTAGAAAAAGCTGGCTAGGAATGCTAAATCCAAGTTTTGTGCATGAAAGTTGTTAATTTATAAGGCTTGTTGTTAGAAGTAGTGAAATGCATCTTTTCAGTATGAAAACACAATTCATTATTTTAAACGCTAAATATTTCATTCATATTTAATGCTGACACAAAGTCTTTTCTAGATAATCTTCGTCAAAGCAAAAAGAACAGGATTTACCGAAATGTGCATATTTTATTTTAAGGCTTCTCTTCAGCTGCAGACAGCATACGGTTAATGGAATAAGAACATAGATTTTATTATTTTACTGAGCAGAAGTTAAATATGAAGAATGAAATGTGACGGCACATTCGTAAAGACTGACATGAAGAGAAACTAATTATTTACCAAGAGTATGGAAGAAGATTCGAGAATTTTTAGTAGATGACGTAGTAAAGGAAACCTCAATTAACCAGCAACAAAGAGGAAAAAGAATGGGTTATCATATACAGGAAAATCACATAGAAGTGACTTGAAATTACTTAAGTAATTTAAGATCAGCAGGTTGAAAATTGTTGGTGATAATAGTAATAATGATTGGGATAATAATAATGACAATAAAAAAAAGAGAACACATAACTATGTGATAAGCGGAATAACTGTTACCAAGGCAAACTAAGATTAACCCTAGTTTCTTTCATCAAACATAATGCGTTTGAGTTGCTTGACAACAATAGACTCAGTAAACCTAAGTAAAGTGGGGTTTCTTTTCTTGTTGGTGATGGTAAAATGCAGTTATGATATCCACTCTATGTCGTGATTCGATCATATGTTGGCCAACGACTCTAGTAATGGACTCATGACATTAGCGTTTCAGGCTTTCTGGGATATATTCAGAAAAGTGGGTGGATGCCCGTCTTTTTGTCCTCTAAGTGTATTTGCTTTGGCACATCGAAAGACATCTGGAGGTGACTTCTGGTGAGCGACAGACAAACTTCAGTTGATAAAGGGCACAACTAGTACAGTAAACAGCACCAAGTTTAGCTGTTGGATAAGTTGTGCCAAAGGTGACTCCTTATCTTTTATTTTTTCGGTGTTGTAGGTCATTAGTTTTTAAGACTAGCTGTATAAATACAAGCTTCTTCCCGAATATAACATCATTCTCTTCATTACTTTGACTTCTTCGGTATCGTTTTATGAACACCTCTGGATACTCGCTTTAAGGAAATTGCATCCAAATAATGTTCAGCACTTCATGCAATCTATTTTTAAGGCGGAATTTCCATGGTATTTCTAAAAGTAATCCAACTAACCCTTGTTTGTATATTATTGGAAAGAAATTAGTACATATTAAGTACTGGCTAGTCCAGGCATCTTTGCTACACATTCCTCTGTCGATTGTGCCATCATCTCATCTTCTTGCAGATAAATCAAGGAAGTGGAGTGTGTGTTCTTATTTCACTAGTCCCATTCATTTATTTTGTGCTGTTTGCAGATGAGGAGAAACTTTGAAATAAGGTGTACACATTTCTGCTAGTCTTGTTCTTCTTGCTTTGATGGAGATCATAAGTAGGGATTTCCAACTTCTCACTGCCCTATTAAGATTGAAAGAGCCACACGATAAGACGAGCTCTTATACAAGAGAACGATGGTGTTATCATTCTTAACGTTTTCTTAATTCATTAAAAGTTTTCATCAGATGTCTTTCCACTTAGTAATTCCTATATAGTGAATTATGGTGTTCTGAAATGAACCCATATTCATCTATAAGTGACCTTTGTTTCTTCATTACCATTATTCTTTTTCTTTTCATCATCAACTCTGAATTACGTGGATGAGACGTTTCAGACTACTGGTAGTAATTTTAGTATTGAGCACTCTTCAAATCTTACTTTGGATTATATAGTATCCACAGTCAGTGATGGTAGAGTTCTGACACTAGGTACCATTAAGTCAAACAACCCTGCAAGTTATTAATTTGATTTCATCTATTACAAACAGATTCCTGAATTTTGAAGATTTTCAAATGATTCGTCTGTCTTGTCTAAATCAGTGTGGATATACAAATAATTAACTCCCTTGTAATTGCATGAAATAGTTGTCTGCTGACTAGTTCACTTTGAAATTATAAGCGGCTATTACAGGTTGGTGTGAGTGGATTGCATATACTCGTGGATTTTAGTCGCACAAATCAAACATCAGAATTGCACTTTACTTTTAAAGTGATCTCTTAATATACTTATCATTCTCGTATGTAGGAGTAAAACTTAGTCAGTGTGATATGGTATAATTCTGTATTAAATAAACCTATCTGATATGTTAAGCAGTAATAGATTGTGCTCCAAATATCGTTCAGGTATCAATATATGCCATATCATATAGATGCATGTTACATGGAACAGATATGCTTAGTGAAGCATAAAAGCTTAGTGAATACATAATATGACTTACTTCTGGCAGATTTAGCATTTCTTGATGCAATGGTAGATCTGAATTGAAGTAATGAAAAGAAAGTAGTCGAAGTAAATGAAGGTTGAATACTTTACAAAGCAAATGCAAACTGAAAGTAAGAGTATAACTGTTACATTCGGAGAGAATAACAAACATATTAATGACTATTCTGCTAGCAATGCTACTGAGTTCACTATCTTTTTAAGTTTTATCTTATTTCCCATACTAACTGCAACCACATTTCACTAAATTTATCCTAGTTGGTGGCACAGCGGTTAGGACTCTCGCCGACCTTGCACATGGTCCGGGGTTCAACCCCTTACCGACGCACACCTGATATCTATGGTTTGCCTGCAAAATTTGGGCTACTAATATCACATGCTGAAAATTCCATACTTGTACCAAAAATACTGTGTGGTTTCAAGCTATAATCAAACAAATAATCATTGTTTCTAATTACTGGTTTGTCTCCAGTCAGCTATAGTGAATTTAAAATAATAGTTGTTTATCACCCAATATATTTCTCGATTCTGTATATGTTAAATCGTAGAGGGGTTGTACAGGACTTTTATTTACTCAAGTTGGAATCTAGTCAGTTAAATGTGCTTGCAGAGTTTTAATCAGAATCATATCAGACAGTGAATGTCGGTGTGTCATCGACTATGCGACTGATACGCTACTACTGTTATTTTTATCACATTCTCATTTATTCTGTAACTGATATATACATAGATACAACTGTTTAGTTTAATATTGTATTTCCAAGAGCTTGTGATGGGATTTAGACGTGATCTTACTTAACTGGATTTTGTATTTATCGGGACTCATCGACTGGGTGTATCTACAAGTCTGAAATTCGTAAGAACTTTACCAATTTTCCATGTCAGTAACTACCCTAAATTTAATCTTTTGTAAGACTGAATTATATGCAAACTTGTAAGACGATTTTGTCAGTCGATAGCTTCGGTGTCATCAACGAAGAGTACATCTGTTCCAGTCAGGCATTTTTAAATCATCATAAAACGAACTATGTACATTATATCAGCAAACTTTTAACCACTGTTTTTATTTATTATCAGCTGAATGTTTTAGCAACCGCGTACCACTTAAATAAACACTATGTAACTATGGTAACTATCTTATCAACTCATGGACCACATAGTAAAGACCTGCTGTCCTACAGTTTCTCAGAGAATGTGATTGTATTTATTTTTGGCATTCCTGTGCAGCTACGTGGATCACCATAGAAGAACACATAACCAACAACTATTCAGATGTAACCGACAAACAGATAAATTAGTGAAACTTTAACGAAACTCTCAATTCTGGTTTAGTTTAATAACAACTTCCTTCTCCAAATGAGATTCTCATTTGAATGCTGCTTGTAGTAGTATAACTTCGAGGTATAATTACTTATGTGCATGATTAGGTGTTTGATTTAGTCGAGAACAGTATCCAATAACAATTTGCTGTGCAGTCTAGAAAGGAATGAGTCTTAGCAGTGGACAGATACTACTTAAGGGTAATAGGTTAACGCAGTACTGTATTGCCGAGTAGCCCTTGTTTGTCAGTAATGAATAGTTTCTCGAGTTTTTTGATAGACACTTAAGTTGCAGCTTTTAGACCTTCACATAACTTGAAACTTTGCCTAACAAATTTACTACCTAAAAGCTGAAGTGATGTATGTTTAGAAAGCTTTTTCTTTTGAAAAAGAATGCTTACCTGCTGGTCAAAACATAACCGTAACTCGATGAAACTGGACGTATTCTACTAAGTATTGACTTCAATTCATTTGTCATTTTCTCAAGTTTTTGACTAGCATTTAGAACAGTCTTGTCATTGTCTTTATCGTCATCATTTAACTGATTCTCTGCATCAATAGTATCATCACAGTTATCTTGAATAGACGTTTCCATTTGTATGCTTTGTTCAACACTTTTTACTTCATCATTTTGACTTGAAAGTATTTCATTTACTTCATTCTTACGTTTATTACCTTCAAATCGAACAGATTTACAAAGATCATTCGTTGTGTCTTCCGTGGGAATTCGATTGACTTTTGATGGTTTTCTTGTACTCAGAGTATTCATGTTAGGTGTTTTGATCAAGATTTGTTTACCAGGTATTATGTGTTTAGACGTATTCTACAATAAATGTAATGAAATTATCATCTATTTTAGCATTGAAATTTAAAAATCATCCATAATGGGATTTCAAACTTAAATGAGTCCCTTTTACAAGTCTGTTTCTTCTATATATATTCGTTACTAGGTGATTGCTACAGTAGAGCTAGCGAACAAGCATCCATAATATGCGTAGTATATTCGCCACGTAGATATTCACGTTTACGAGAGTGCAAATATCTCAATAAAATGAATTCTGTTCACTTTCGTCTCTATCGAATGTGACTAAGGTAAGCATTACTCTGTTCTAGAATGTGTCAGAAAATTTGCCTGCTTTTTTATGTTATCATTATTATGCGTTATAAATGTCATTCATTGAAACTTACTATGCTTATTCTTTTTGAGTGATTATTTGTGATAAATCGAAACATAAGGAGAATCGATTTGAAAGTAATATTTCACAGTTTCTTTTCCGGGATTTCCATGGAGCTTGAGTAATCAAACAACAGTAGAGAGTTAGTTTGTCCTACTTTGGGACATTTTGGCAATGGGAACTCCGAACTTCATTTGAGATCATTCCCAGGGTTGCTGCATCTTATGGTGGACACGTTATCATTCAACAAGTTTTTGAATATTACATTGTTGCGAACATGAAAGATCTTGATGATGAGAAAGAAAGATGTGCTCTCAGGCTGAACTAAATTCTCGCTGGTATTTAACAGATAGATATCAACGGACAAGCAGTAATAGGCCTTTATGCTTAAACAAATTATTTTCACGGTTAGATTTACATAAGATTTAAAATAAGTGCAATAAGTTTCGTAACTTTTAAGCAATGTATATATACGGTTTGTTTTTACTAGCGTAACTAGAATCACATCTTATATTCCTCCAGGTAATGAATGCCTTTTGATCAAATATTTCCATTTATCACGTCACTATTTCGCCATATGATATAAATTTGCTTGTTAGTATCAATTTTACTGTTAACACAGCGTCACCTTTATTTCAAACTGACTTGATTGTGGTAATATGGAGTGTGATAATCAATATGTGAATGTCCTATTTTCTTCGTTATATAACAGTGTACATGTGTAATGTGCTAATTCCAAACACATTTAAGTAGTATATTGAGCAACGTCTTCCGAGAACCAATAATAATAATTTGTGTGTCGATAGAAGAGCCAATAAAGAGAAAACACAAGAAGTAATTGAATATGTTGGGAAGGATCTAATGTACTACAGACGACGATGAACAAAATGTGCTCAATGGAGAATGGATGATATGATTTGTGAACTGTGAAATCAGTGCTGCATTAATGACTTTTTTATTGATCATTGTATTTTTTCCAGTAAACATCAGTGTTCTCTTTAAATACGTCAGGGATTCTTGAGATCTGTTGTATACACCGATTTCTTTTAGTGAATTTAAAGAAAACAAGGGAAATAAGCACAAACAGGGAAACAACGGACTCATTTTATTTCTTATTTTTTATTAGTTATTTCAGATATTGGTGGTACAGAGGTTAGGACGCTCGCCGACCATGCACATGGTCGGGAGTTCGATCCCCGGCCGACGCACCCCTTTACCTCGTTAAGCCAGAAATAAAGCTGGTAAAGAGGAAAGCTTGGACATAAGGCTAGCAACCCCATGTTGTAAAAATAAACACTGCTACAGAAACTTCAAGTCTCTAGCTTGAAGCCCTATGTTCCACTAGGGACATGAAGGAATAAGAAAATTTCAGGACCATAAAACTGTTGTTTACCTACATTTTACTTATAAGGATATTAGAAATCTCAAGTCCTTAAGAAGTACTATAAAGACTTGGAGTAGAACGTAAACTAGTTTCACTTTCCAAATACTTTTGCTAAAATTTACAAACAGAGTTTCAGTATTAAGGCGAATTTATTTCCAGTGGACAAAGAAATAAACTGTTATTTCTTTTTAAATGTTTTGGTTTAGTGGTGTGATCAATAACAGTTGAGTTAACTATCTATAGATGATTAGTATAAATTAGGGTAAAACAACTGTTCAAGAGAATAAACATTACTGTACAATTCAAAGCCTTTGGACGCCATTTATAACTAAAAAGTGCTTAGTAACCGACACATTCACACATGAAAAGACTACAGTTTATTACTTTTGGTAAATTTTCAATATGGCGTAGAACCTTAATAAACTTTAACAACGACACTAATAACTGAATCAGTTATACGGTGTACATTTCAAAGTGAAATAAAGTCGTGGCTAACTTCATGAATGGGAAATACTAAAGTGATAATAGGTGATCTGCGGGATGTTTCCTACTGCTTTATTAGAATAGTCGGAAACTACTCATACCAGCTAAGGGAATTATCGGATGAAGTTGGCCGTAAAACCAGAGATATATTTCCTGTTGTTTGTGAGTGAGCATATCAGTCGTGCATTGAATCAACTTACTTACCTTTAAGAACCAAACTAGTTAAAACTAGCTCGATATGGCTATTGAACTTCTTTTATGCATGTTAGTGACTTACAGCTATTGATATCTATTGGAAGCACATATTTTGAAGCTTTCGCGATAAGGACGTCACTCATTTAGGAATCGTATTCCATAATCTATACTATTCAAATTTGTATGTTATTCTGATAATCCACTGGTGTCTACCAGCAATAATTCGGACAGAAAAAAGCTCAGAGATAAGCATATTATGAAATAAGAAATGAAATTTTAGCATGTAGTGCACACTGTATTCGCTATACTGAAGTTATTAGAAATAATGAGTATTAAAAATATGAAAGTTATGCATTTTCACACTTACTATTTCTTCACAACTTTTAAGAGAACTTATTCGATTTGTAACAGATGTTTTGCCTTCATACAACATATCGACTTCATAATGCCATCTTTTCAATTTACGCTCTATTTGAGTAATATTTTCTGAACATGTCTCCCAATCATATAAACAGAAGTCTAATATGAAAAAATATCAGTAATAACACTGTTATATGTTTCCATATGTTTCTATAATGAACATCGAAGTAAGTCTGCTAACAGTAATAATAATAAACCAAATAAACTATTTTTGTAAAAAATTATATTTGTAAATTCTCAGTGAGATTGAATTGAGTAATTCCAACGTTTCGTTGGGAAATTTGATCCGAACTTTTTCAGGGAAATTAATCGAAATTAACATAACAGAGGTTTATATATAAAAGGAACATCATTTGTTTTTAAAAACTTTGTCCAGTCATGAGTCATTCATAAAATGTTGTTTATTATACTTGTTGAATGACTCATGATTGGACAAAGTTTTTGAAAACAAATGATGTTCCTTTTATATATAAACCTCTGTTATGTTAATTTCGATCAATTTCCCTGAAGAAGTTCGGACCAGATTTCCGAACGAAACGTTGGAATTACTCATTTCAATCTCACTGAGATTTTACAAATATAATTTTTTAGAAATGTCTACTTCTCACTCGGCGCCCAAATATTTTAGAACTATTCTGTCAAATCTTGACGACAGTTCATTCAAATAAACTACATTATGTTTATTGATGTGGTTGGTGGTTCACTGGTAGAATACTCACCAACCGAGCGTGTGGTTGGGCGTTCGATACCCGGCTGATGAACTCCTTAATCTCACTTAGCCAGTAGTAAGTCCAGTACAGAGAGAAGGTTGGGTGTGAGTCTAGCGATCTCACCAAGTAAAAGTAAAAAGCACTGCTAGTGAAACTTCATAGCTCAAAGTTTGAAGCCCCATGTTCCATTCGGAACGTAAAGGATGAATGTTTAATGATACATTTTATAACTGAAAAGGAATTCTGAAACCATCATAGTATTATTTTAGTTATATTTCCAAAACAAAAACTGTCTTTAGTGGTGAATAAATAGAATTATTTTCAGAAGTTTTATACTATGCAGAACAATAAATACCTAAGATGCTTTCTTATTAAAAGTTCCTCTTAATTCAATTAGAGATTTTGGTTTCGGTTTGTAAAACCTCAGGGAAAGCTCCCTATGTTATCTTAAGGTGTCTGATCTGATTCTGTCAGTAAAAATATTACTGTACTGTTCTTTGATTATAGTTTTGGAAAATTCAGACAAATGGGCTTTCCCATTGTTAATATATATGACCTAGCACTACTGAATTACAGAAGAAGCTGCATTAACCCTCTGTCTGCACGTAAAGTAGGACATGACAAAAAGGGCGACAATGAAATGAAAATAATATTATCAGAGGTGATAGACTACTATAAAATAACCAGAAAGGAGAGAGCAAATGAAGAAATGTTATGGTATACGTATTAAAACTTGGGCACTGTGGTAGAGTATAACTTCATTATAGATAAGATTTTATTTTGATAAATCACACAGTGTTATACAGTAATATTAACTGATGACGTTTCGAGCACAAATTATTGCTCATAATCATATCAGGTTACTCACAAAATTTTTTTCCTTCATTTATATACATGTGTGGAATCGATAAGATATTGGAATAAAATTCAGTATGAGATAATGTGCATTCAGAAATAATAATATGAATGTCATTGATCAATTACAATTAGATGGGAAAAAACACGAGTGTTTCTATATTCATAATAAGTAACTTGTTAGAATGTTGTGATGTGTTTGAATTGAAATAGAATATTAAGATTATTTATTATCCTCTTCTGATTTGACTGGCGGTAATAATATCTTCCATATTTCTGGTATTTGCATTGAGTCATTTCTGTTGCATGTGTTGGGTGTAAACTCGATGAACAAGGATTCATTCACTGTTATACCATATAAGGAGGGGACATCTGAGACCCTACGTGGGATTCTTAATAAAGCAGGCATTAGGGTGGTATTCAAACCCACAAACTCACTCAGGGACAAGCTCTGTAGGCTAAAGGACCCTGTTGACCCAATTAGACAAAATAATATAATTTACAAAATACCCTGCAATGACTGTGAGGTCAACAACATAGGTCAAACTAGTAGGTCGGGGGTAGGCAGATTATCAGAACATAAGAATTTAGCTAAGGTAAGAATGGTTGACCCAGAGAAGATAAGTAATTCAGAAAAAAGCTCAGCAATTGCACTTCACGCATTAACACACAGCCACACAATAGGGCTGGAGAGGGTTAAAATTCTAAAAAGTAATCTATATATATTCGTGTATGCAAATGAAGTTAAACGTTGTGTGAGTGACTTGATATGATTATGAGCAATAGTTAGTGCTCGAAACGTCATCAGTAAATATTACTGTATAACACTGTGTGATTTATCAAAATAAAATCTTATCTATAAAGAAGGAATGTTATGCTTTAGTAAAGTTGACTTTGGGGTGGGAATGGTGATTTGCCACTTTTTTATCCTGAACGCCATCATTATTTGTCAACAATGACCTGTTTTTTGAAAAGTACATCAAACATAACCATACATGAATAGAACTTGTATGGTTAAATTAACAAATCTCTCAATCCAGTCTTCCACTTCTATATTGTCTGGAAGTTGAAGGAAATTAATGAATATGCTATCAGTTTTTAATTTTTATTCGTAAAACCTTTCATGCTCTGATGGGTACATCAAAGTAAGCGTCTATTTTTCTTTACATTACAGACTATTTGAACTTTACAGATGTAGAAGAGCATCGTTGGTAGATGGATATCTTCGTTTTCATTGATTCATAAGATAGACGGTATCTGAAACATAAATTTACTATTTTCGCTAGAATTTGAAGTGTTCAATATAAAGACGTCTGAATGCTGGAATGGAACCATGTGTAAAGCTAGGTGAAATGAAAATTCATGCAAGCAAATGTAATCTTGGAAACTAAAGATGTCAGTTTGAAGTGAAGAATCCTGAAAATTCTCTTTTTTGAGGCGTATTTGTGTGCATGTAAATTCAGAAAGAAATAAGCTACTCTTAAACGTAAGTCGACATTCTGACACCGAGAATAACAAGAATAAATATCAGTCTTTAAATACACAACTACTGTGCAAACAGAAATTTGTAAGGTTATTATTGAAAATTCATCCCCTTTATTTCGAAACTCCCACAGGTGGGGCTTTAATTTTGAGGGGATTTGCTTTGGTATATATTGGATATCCAGTGAAAGAAATAGTCCAGTCTGGTGGAATGATTTACATTCACCCTTTGGTCTGATAGGCTTTGGTTTTGGAAATTTTACGATATAAAATACAGAAACTGTTATCCTATCAGTTAGGAAAGATTTTTATCTCTTTTGCCAATCAATTTTCCAGGCTTTTATTTTACATTACCTTTCTATACTACTTATCAGTAGTCATTGTGTTTTGGAATAAATTTCTCTTTATGTTGGTCTACATTTGAATAATTAAACAAGGCATTAAAAAAAGTATAAAAACATACTTGTTGATCTTTCATTTCCTGAGGTAAAATTTGCTGTGCCTGCCTCTGACTTGTTGAATCTTGTGCTATCTTTTGAAGACATTGTCTCAGTTCTAGAATACGTTGAGGTTATACGTTTCTTGAGAGGACTGCGTCTGTTGTTTATTATCTCTTCTTCCTCTTGATTATCTGAATATTTTACCGACCTTAATGTTAACATATCTTTTTGGAGTTTGCTTATTGTTTGACGTCTTGTTCTGGATCCCATTTCGTCCTATGTTGATGTTCAAAAGTGAATTTTAGCTTTTTTTAGTACTGACTAATGGTCTAATTATTGAAGGTTTGTTAAACAAATTAAATGAAATTATTGTAATGGCTTGCAAACTGTGGCTAACTTCAAAAATTCGCGAAATCTTGAATTACTAGCTTATTTAAACAGCTGATTTTTGAACTTATTTTTGCTGACTATGACAATTTTCTTACAACAAACTTTCTTATTAATGCTAAAATAATTACCACCTCTTGTTTGAAAAACGAAGCGTAAGCATATTACGATAGCCTAATCTTACTTCTAATTTTCGGTGCACAGTCCAGTGTTTTAAGGGATCTGTAGAAGTTACAAGACCCTAGTGGGAAAATTCCTCATTATCCATAGGTATACGGAACTGACGAATGTCAAAACCGCCGGAGTTTAGGTCTTTTTTCCCATTGATTCTAGGCATCTCATTTGCTTTAAAGTATTTACTTCAGTGTAAAAGGCACGGGCGAACTAATTTCATATATTTTTATACTTTATATAGAATGTTTTCTCTGAAATGGTAACAAGATATGCGTGAAGGAGAATTATTTTGAACAGGTTTTTCTAGCTAAATAAACCAATTTACATATCTAAACTCATTGTTATAAAACAAAGAGTGCGACATAACTATATTTACGACATAGTATGAAAGGCACTGTAATAGCTGGTGTTATATGTATATTGTGATTAAATAAAATAAAGTTAGTTCCCAAGGTTAGATTTGCCACTAAGAATATTTGTGGGGTACAAAATAACAAAGTGAAGAGAAAATTTTATTATGGACCGATATTAGTTGCAGAACTACTGAAAATCAGGGAGTACTAAAGAGCTATTATGACCAAAACAAATTTACACCCTGTTTCAAACAGTTTCAAAATGCTAGTCATTCGAGGGAATATTAAATTATATTTACTACTTTACCCATTTACGTTCCCAGTGGAATAAAGGGCTTCAAGCTAGACCTTTGAAGTTTCAGTAGCAGTGATGTTTATTTTCACGGGAGGGGTTGCTAGCCTAATGCCCAAGCTCCCCTTATTACCAGTCTCATTACTGGTTTAGCGAGGTTAAGGAGTGAGACAACCGAGGGTTGGACTGCAAACCACATGCGTGGTTGGCGAGCATTCTGCCACTGTGCCACAAACGCACTTTTGAGGAAATAACTAGATTTCAAAGTATTTCATTTGAAATCAGCTTAAGTTTTTTCCCACTAATTATGGTATTAGTAATTCTTAGATTTACTTATTTGTATGCTGTTTTTATTATTTCCTATAAAGATAGAATCTGTGGTGTTGCATTTTATTGACTGCTTCCAGACATATCATAACGAATTTAGGCCAATACAAACACTTGTAAACCAAACTACTCACCACAACTGATTCTTTTATTTACGGTATCTTATAGGTTTTGGTTGATTTATGTCAAATACTCTGTCAAGGTAAATTCCAAGTTCAGGGAGCAATAGAACTGTATCAAGGTAGTTACAGTAAAGTAAATTAATTTGATACGTATGAAAAAAGACCAGTAAATGGGTTTTTACTTGTGCATGAATTAAAATTTATTTGAGATTTTATAATCTCTATATGTAATCTTAATGCAGACGTCAGTCTAAGTTGAAATAATCATTCAGGTCTCTTGAGTACGTTTCATATCGTAAGTGAATAGTTTAGATTTCAGATGACACGTTTTAACACCTTAATCATACCAAAAAAGGCAAGTGGACTAAAGTCTTGCCTAATCACAAGTGTTAATACAATTGTGAAAGGCGGGAAAACATGGATTTAAGTGCGGAGGTTAATAACCTGCACATGCCGTGATGAAACTGACAGTAAGACAGGAGAAATGAAATCATATGTTACTGATATCATAGTCAAATCTTCAGTGTTCTCTTACTTAAGCCATGACGTTTTTAATAAACATGCATAAAATGATGAGCGAATCCCGTTAACTATCTTAACGGTGTTTTCACTAGGTCAAATGACAGTTAAAGAATTTAATATAGATGAATTGAAAGCGTCGGTGGTACAGCCGTAGAATTCTCGTCAACCACGCATGTGATTCCGGGTCCGGTACCCAGCCGTCTCACTCCTTTACCTCACTAAACCAGTAATGAGACTGGTAATGAGGGGAGTTTGGGCATGAGGCTAGCAATCCCAACCCGTAAAAAAACACCACTGCTACTGAAACTTCAAAGCTCTAGCTTGAAGCCCCCTTAGTTCCACTGGGAACGTAAAGGAATAAGAAAAAGCATGAAAGAAGGAGTATTTGAAGAAACTTCGTCTGTACACAGACCTCTAACTTTTCTATTTCTTATAATATTTTCTCTTCATAACAACTGTTATTACCAGATGAAAGTATCTACTTACGTTGCCTAAATAGTACTTAAATTCGCCGTTACTTGATATCTCATAAAACTCAGATGATGCTGAATTTCATTTATTTTCTATCAATAATTAGCAAAGCCTGCTAATATATATTTATTTTTCACACTAAATTTTCACATTAGCTTACTGTGTTAATAAGAATTAGGTTCTTTTGTTTTCAACACATCTAGTTATCGAGTTAATCAATAAAGATTTTAAACCTTCCTTTATAGTAGGCCTCTTTTTTTAAGGCTAAGTAAATTTAATTTGATGACATGGTTGTTTCTATGGCTGAAGCTTTAGGTTTCTAAGAAAACCGTAGCTTTGTCAGTTAAGGTTATAGGCACACCTTCTTCAGTAAAAACAACAAGCATAAAACTAATATATGTTCTATCTTGTCAGACTTCCTGATCGACTCAACATCACAAACGTTAATTTGCTACTCATATTTATATATGACATACTAGTTCAGAAAACTAGACGAACACTAAGAACTAGGCAATGCATTACTGAGTACTCTTCATTGGACACTTAGTTACTAGCTGAGTGTTGAAAAAGTTGGTCCACGACACCCACTATGAAACCAGATTATCATTTCACTGGAATTGATAGGAGTTTGTATTAAGCTGTCATCAGAATTAGTGGTACAGAACTATTCGTTCAACATTATTACATAAGCTACCCAGTTAGTACTTCTCTTCTCACTTTGAATCATAATAAATTAGGAGGGATAATTCCTAATGAAGTTATCTAAGAAAGCATCTGGTTTTCCTACTTCTATTAGTACATCCCTGAGTCACAAACTGGAATCCCACCACGATCTAGATTCTCATGTTAACCTCAGTCATCATTCACTCTATTTATAGCAGTATGACAGTCCAAAACTGTCCCAGATAGTCTCATTAACAAATGGAATCAAAAAATATCGGATGGTTAGTTTTTCCTAGCTGCCTTTTAAAAGTGTGATAACCTTCAAATCAAATTCAGTTTTGTCTTTATTAAAATTTTCTTTAAAATTCAAACATATGAGTTGTTCAAAAGAAGTACATAAGATTTCAATATTATGAAAACAATCAGTTCATGATTCATCGTAAAGGCCATCTTTACAAAGTACTTTAATTGTTTACAGTCACATTTTGAAATGATATAACTATGCAGGAAAACAAAAACTCTCTGGTGAATAATAAAATATTCACTAATAAATTTTAACTCGATTAAAAATAATACTGATTGTTAGAATTTAACTGTAATCAACTACTGTAGAGTAGCTTCCAGTAAACTGTAACAATAGTAACGGAGTGCATAAAACACAAGACCAGAAGTTTAAATGTACACATCGATTTTTCAATACAATGAGAAGAGTTGAAAGAATGTAACTAACACAATTGAGCACAAAGTAGTATAGATGTATATATGCATATGTTTTGTATTATTTTACACTTCCAAATACACGATTTTATCTTCCAACACCAAACTAAAATGAAGGAATAAAAAAACAAATGAGAAAAAGAATAAAAAAATGATTATCAGAAAACAAAACATCAAAGAAAAGTTTGAAGCAATTGAAAATTGAGGAAAAATGAAGCTTTCCAGTTTAACATTGTTTTTAAAAAAAATAAGAAAGTATTTTTGATTTTTTTAAAAGAAGTGAAATACAATAACTAGGTATTTAGAATGTTCTTCTCGTTGAAGAATCAAATAAAACAGTAATTAAGAAATTAAAATTCCAATTTGTAAGCAAAGAATAAACAGTTATCTCATGACTTTAAGGAATGTTGAGGTAATGAGGCAAAATATATACCTCATTTGGATATTTTTTGATGTTGTTTTGTTTTCTGAGCTGAATGGCTTAATAAACTAAGTTCTCATACTGTGTTTTGAGAAAAAATATTTGACCACAGTGTCAGGATGAAATCTTAATGTGAGATGAAATGACTAATTAGAAAGGATAAGTTACTGATTTATTTTTGAGTGTTTCTAAGTCCCCTTATCTTGGAAGTTAAAAAGACTTGATGTTGTTCCAGTGATAATTTCTTAAAGTCGTTAGGCAATACACATTCAGATTTTAAAATATTTTATTTCACTGCAACTCTACTGTACTAATTTTATTTTACCACTCATTTTAACTGTCAGTAAAAGAAGCTTTGTAGAAATATCTCGAATATTTACGTTATAAACAATAGGATTTTAGTTATATGGAATTTTTTCAAGTGTTGTTTAAGTGAGTACAAGATATTTAATAATTTTTCCACCCCAATACACTACCGCATGACACCGAAGGTTGGTAGACTTGGAACTTTCTCCAGAAATGCTCTCATGTGGCCATTCGTTCATGGCTTCTGCAGGATAAGTCCTACCCACTGTCTTCACATGGTGGGTGTGTTCGTCAGAAAAGTGAAGAGGCGAAAGCGAACTTTTATAGCTTTCAAGCGGGCTGGTAGATATCCTGATCTACCTGCAGGAGCTAGGAAATGTTGATTCCCAAGCTATGGTTTACATGGGCTCCAGAATCCAAATAAATCGGATGGTGCATGAGCCTGCTTTGGTCACTGAAAACCATGGGAACGTAGCTCCTAACTTTGCTCCATTACATTGTGGGTCATAAGTCAA